GTAAACTCAAATTGACTCAGGGTTGTTGCAGCGAATAAATATTAGTGGGCTTGGATCGGCTTGAAATAAAAGATTTCTCTGGCTAGGGTGTGGTTATCGTTGCCCGAACAAAAAAGCGCGCACAAGTAAAACGCGCGCACCGTTGATTTGAGCAAAACTTTCATAGTAACTTTTTGTTCCATCTCAATTTTCCACCTGGAAATCGTCGGATAGTTTAGAAAATCTTATCACTATTAAGATTAAAATATATTGCTTTTTAAATCAGTTGTTTCTTGACTTTCAATAATCTTACATTGCGCGCGCGCCAACTTTCACTAGTTAGGCTTATAGGCAACAGTTACGTTACTCTTTCTAAACAATAAAATAATCCTATTATAAAAGGAAAACGCGTACAATTTTAATTTTAGCAAACTATAAGATAGTAACTTGCTATCCCTTCCTATTTTTTGCCCTAAAAATCATTGTATAGATCTTAAAGCTTTCAGCTCAAGTACAAGGCTTTTCAAATCAGTTATTTTGTTACTCTCAACAATCTCAAATTGCGCGCGCCAATCTTCGTTTGCTAAAAAGTCTTGTTTTTTTATCTAGCAAATAAAATCTTTCTACTTACATTTGTCGGGATATCGTGCATCTGAGTAGACTACAATGCAAAGTACCAACAGAGCAATTGTGATGTTCTTCATCTTGGCACAGTTTGAAAACTTCTCGAGGCTGATCAGGAATCTAAACTGGAAAAATAACAAGCACTTGGGAGATGTCTCTCGTACGGGTTGATGGTGCAACTGAAGACTGCAACTTGAGTTAAGTTTGTTATATAGCATACACTCACAATAGAATCGAGAATGTATCCATTGTTTGGCCGCAAAGAACCGGAACAAATTTGAAATTATTCATCTTGATTTCCCGCCTTCAAGTTTAAATTTTAGTTATTTCCGAAAAATTTGTACATACCAACTTTCAAATTTTCAGTTTCCTTGTCCAGGTTTACATGAGTGTTCGTAGAAGGGGTTCGGTTTAAGATATATTTGATGCAATGATATTACACAACGTTTCTGCGGGAAATTTTTACCGGACAGGATAACTGCACGAGTATCGAGATGATTTCGAATTAATTCAAAGAAGAGTAAATAGTTTGTTTGTTAAACCTCATTTAACTGATCAAATAGCGACCCCAAATCTTAATTAACCATCTGATTTTCACAAGCTGAAATCAATCAAACAACAATTAACGTCAAGATTCACGTTGTTTTGATTAGCTCACAGGAGAGTAGTAAAACAATTCAGAAGTCAAATTTTCCCACACAGCAATTCCGGGCATAAT